TGCTTAGCTTAAGGGTCAGCTTCCAAAACTGCAGAAAAGCCACACATTTTAGTATTGTTAATTTAATTAAGCCGGAGGTGTTAAAACTGAAAGCGATCCATTTTGATCGACAATTCATTCTACAGCTCGGACCTCACCGGCAGAAACATAACGGAAAAAACTTTACCGGTTACGGACCTCACCGGCTATTGAGTGGCTCAAGTGATTCTTATTTTTCTGTTTGTCATGCGTTTGCAAGGTTTTTTAAGACTTGTGGGCGAATTATTATACTATACAATCTCCTTCTGAGTTGCCTCAGAGTTTTGGGGACGACGGTTAAACATGAAACATTGATGACATAATCATACACCATGTTGGGTGCATTATCGGTGAACAGGTGATTCCTTCTACGGATTATGTTGCTACTACAAAGTACAAACACATGCGAGCTTTTTTGGCCTAAACATAGTAAATCATGCCAACTTCAATGAGGCTGATGGGAGGAATATTGAGTGCTACAGCTGGCCCTCTGCAGTTCTTCCTCAGAAATGAGTAGCCGATATCAATTGTCAGCTTCTTCAACCAGGACGAGGATTTCCTCGCTTTCACATACGAGTGGCCCATTATATACGCAACACCTGCCTCTTTCGCCCCTATCAGATCCATTAGCTCTTCCCTCACAGAGGACTCCATCCCACGACTTGGTGGCATTAACCGGAACCTCACAGCCCGCCTCCTCACTTGCCCTTGCGGATACTCATCCTCGTACACTGACCGCAAGCTCTGCAGCGTCATTGATTTACTGCTTTGTCTTGTGGGGTCAGCAAAATCAATGTCCTCCACCTCTGACACCGTCAGGATTGCGCTGGAGAGACTCTTCTGGCTGCTTAAAACGGCCATTCTCCCATCATAAGATTGAGACTCCGACGCCAATGATTGGAGTTCGCCTGCTTCCATCTGGATGAACTCCGCTATGCTCTGTATCAGCTGATTCTCAAAGTCTCCGTCCTCCCGTTGAATGTCCTTGTACCCATACCTCACTATGCACCTGTACATACGATAAGGTTTTGGGCAAACACGGCCAATGAGGAAGCGTTCTTCAGGGGGAACATGAGGCACTGGAACTGATTTCACACAAACAAACACCACGACTTTATGGAATGCCGGGAGGTTGGTGACAAAGTGAGAGAATATTGCAGGAACTCCAGTTGCAAGTTCTGAGTATACAAGTCCTATTCCAGGCACACGGACAATACCAAGACTAGGTCCTAATCCCAACAACCACTTCAGTGAAACTTTGTTATGAAGATCAAAGCTGTATTTCCTGCGGGTGCCATAGCGCCACACATACATGGTGATCATAAATATGAATGCAAGCACCAAAGACACCCAACCACCCTGGGGAACTTTCATGAGCGCTGCTGAGAGGTAGACACCTTCGACCATCCATAGAGTTCCAAGGAACAAACCTGCCAGAAAACAACTCTTCTGCCAAACCACAACTATGACAAGAGCCATGAGAAACGTTGTGATGAACATTACTATCATGCAGGCGAGTCCTGTGAATAATGAGAAAACCACCATCAAGCAATCAGATCCCGGAGAGGGGAAAATAGATTCTAATCATAGGAAGTTTACCGTAAGCATTTCCAATAAACGTTGTCTCTCTAAAGCCTATAGCTATTGCAAGCGTAAGGATCATCAGGATCCAATTGATCTCTGGGATATAGATCTGTCCATATATATGTTTCAAAGTATGGACTACTTTGACGCGTGGGAAGCACCCAAGAGCATGGCATTGTTTGATTATTGAGAACGTAGTGGTTATCACAGCCTGACTGCCAACAATGGCTGCAAGTGAGGCAATGACAAAGACAGGCCAGAAAACAGGATCTGCATAAAGAACCAGAATCATATAAGAGAGCCATTATCTCAAGAAAGCAAGTGAACTTTAAACACTATTGTCAGGGTAAACTAACCTGGGACTGAATTGTAAAAACTATTGGGAATAGACCCGAGGTTTTTTGACAAGAAAGCTGCCTGGCCCATGTATTGTACCACCAGACAGGGGTACACGACAACGGCGAAAGCAAGCTGGAGAGAACAAGAAGAAGTAGAATGTAACAAACAAAGCTGTGCAACCAGCATGGACATATGTTGAAGAATAACTAGCCAGGATGTAAAGAAGTCACGGATAAAAGAACTAATGTACACCACTGGACATGAAACCTTAACTTACTCTGATTGAGACCGAGGTGAAATGGCCAAGATCTGCAAACATAGCTTCAGTACCTGATGAGACAGTGATAATCACTTTAGCGGACCAGCTCATTAAAGAACAAGACGGTCAAATAGAGGATTCAAAGCAAACAGAAAAGAAATAGTTCTATCTTTATGTCTTGATCCAGAACCAGAACTACCTGTTACAGAAAGAAGAACCCCTCCAAGAGAAATCCAGCCATCTTGACCAGTCACTCTGAAGAATTTGATGATATAAAGCGGGGAAATTGCATGTATTATCTTTGGATTCCAGTATATGATGTTGTATAAACCGACAAAGAGTATTGAAATAAGCCAGATGATCACAATTGGTGCAAACATAAAAGCCACCCTGTGAGTACCACAGTGTTGCAAAGCAAACAGTCCGACCAATATGACACAGACAAGCAACAGGAGTTCACCTGCAGTGGTATAAGAGAAGACCTTCAGATATTCTTCC